ATCACCAGGCGTCCAGGCTCGAGAAGTGCGGCCCGTAAGGCCGCGGGGCCTGGGGAGCTGACCTTTGATCAGCATCGCCGCTTGATTTGGTTTCGGGTTGCAGCAACCACCGACGAGGTCTTTAGCCTGGCGACCCGTAGTGTATGAGCCGCACCGTCGGCAGAAGACACAACCCAATCCCGTGTGAATCACTCGGGCGATTCTCAGATCATGGGCGGGAGACGGGGGGGCAGGAGGGGCTACGAGGGCACGAAGCGAGGGAGGGATTGGCCCGCATTCTGAGAGATTGGCCCTGTGCCCATTCTTGAATGAGCGGAGACACTTGATACATTGCCATCTATGATTGACCCACCGCACATCGTGGGCCACAAGACAGCTCTTGATGGGCCTGAAAACTCTGGTTCTACTGAAATCACAGAAAATATCCCTGGCTTGCGGCCAGGCTTGAAACACAGTTATCATAGCTCTGGCCGTCGCAAAAAAACAACTCGCGCTCATCGGTGACCCCGGCAATATCTACCTGAGAGGAAACTTTCCCCACAGCCAGCTTGGCAAAAACGTCCGCCCAGGTATTCCCCCCAGTTTTCCAGGAAGCTTGTCTCTCGTCAGATTCTTGTAAGTGTGCTTTCACTTTATGAGCAGACCAATCGACGGCTCCCGCGTTTTTGATTCTCCTACAGTTGCCCGCCTGGGCCGTCTTCTTCTGGGTCCCACGGGTCACTTCCTGGGCTCCCTAGACCACGGCAGCACAGTCCAGAAACAAATCTTGGTCGACGGTCTTCGGCTCGATGTGGCCGACCATATGCATCAGAGCGTGATGTTCGGTGAGGACGGCTGTCTGCGGCAAGCTGACTGGGATACTTCCACGCATACCTCTGATCAAGTTTCCCTCGGGATCGGTCTCGATAGCAGCCCAGCCTCCTCTCGCCAAGATCTCGCACTTAGGCTCGACCACTGAACCATCACCAAAAACAGCTGCTCCGTCCTGAAACTCGAATGGGTTGACCCTCCCATTCGCGTCGAAATAGAGGACCTCATCTTGCTTAGGCCCAGGCACCTCGATGTCAGGTGTCGCAAGCCACAGCGAAGTATAAAATGGATCATCTTCTCCTGCTAAGATGGCCTCCTCTGCAACAGACGTGTCAAGGTTGGCTCGCTCCACGTCGCCATGCGGACACTTCCAGATGCGATGCCATACCGTATCCAAGTCGGGGCAGAAGCGGCACTTCGGCGAGACCTGTAATCCCCACCTGTGTAGTGAGACGCCCGTGGTGTAAGATCAGCAGAACAACTTCCTCGCTATCCCCTTCCCCTGGGCTGTCAGGTCCTTGGATTTCACCAACAATTGGATGGGCTCGGTCCAGAGCCCCTTAGCCTTGATGTCCTGGGCCCTGGGGTGGTTTTCCTTCGCCAACAATCTAGAAGTCGAGTCGTCCAGAAACTTGGCCTGGATGTCTTGCTTGAAAATCTTCTGAACTAACGTAGGTGGGGAATCGGTGAGCCGAACCTCGCGTCCACCCCTGGAAGTGAAAGAAGCTGGCCCCGTGAAAGTCCATCCTGCTTCGACTCCCCACAAGAAAGCATCTAGGATGGGGTGCGTCCCGCGCCTCCGCAAGCTTCTGCAAGCAGCCGTGGCACGCCTTCGAGAGCTGGCCCGCCGAGAGGCCATCCGCTGCCCGAATATCGTTGTCGCATGACTCCCTCCATTCCCCCGAGCGTACCTAGCCACTGCGTCTGCTGCGTGAACAATGGGGTCCTTCTGGGGGTAGGCGGCCCAGGCGAGGTCGATTGAGGCTCCAGGGCTCCAGATGCCCAACGCCTTCGCCCCCATGACCCTCAGTCAGTGCACATCTTTGGCCGACAGGGCCACAACATCGCTGCCGAAGGTGATGCTTGGCTTCTGTCCCATGAAGAAAAGCTTGGCTTTGGCTCCTGATTTCCCCCTTCATACCTTGGATTTTTGGCATCCGTTGGAGTGCTCCGGCCCGTCGGGCCTTGCGTCTCGCTAACTTGCCAGGGCCTCGCGGCCCCTTGGAGATCAGCTTGGGCTTCTTGGGGTCCTTCTTTTTTGCGCTGCATGAGAGAGCCCACGGAGAAATCCACCCCCAGGTTGGCCACCTCCCCAGCCAGGGTGAACCCATACATCCCAAGAGCCTCAGGAGCCTTATCCATGACCTGCTGCGAGTTCGTGGTGAAACAGGCCTTCTTCAAAGCGATCGGTAAACCTAGCCTGCAGGAGCACGCCTCGATCAAGTTGCTCGCGACTGTCCCTAGCAGGTTGAGGCGCTCCACTGGCGCCGCATGGTGCGAGTCAAACTCCAAGTCATCTACGTGTATGGTAAAGCTGCCCCCCCCCCCCCCGTCGTTCTCCTCCGCCTCGTTCTCCTGCTTTCCAACTGCCTCTTCGACGAAAACGGAAGTGATGGGCGCGCCATCCCGTGCGAGGGCGAGGGCGAGACATCCAGGACACCCGCCTTCGAATGTGCGTCGTCATCAGGACGATCTCCTGGAGGCCATCTCGTTCATCCGCCTCGAGGGCTGCTGCGACAAGGACAAGGCCAAGCTGGTCATCGACGCGCCGACGTGGGAGGGCCGCGTTTTGATGACCCGCGCTGTGGCTTCAGAGGGCCTGTCGACCCACCGCAAGGGCGTGGCGTCAGCGGGCTGGCTGGAGGAGTAGGCGAGCCACTGGCTGGAGACGCTCGAGCAGTGATTCGACGAGATGATGCCAGCCAGGCTCGAGCAGTGGTTCGACGAGATGATGCCAGCCAGGTCAGAGCATTGACTCGCAGAGATAATACCCGCCATTCTAGAGCAGTGATTCGTAGAGATGATACCAGCCACTCCAGTCGCAGCGTAATTCTCGTGCGAGGCGAAGGCCTCCCAGCTAGCGGCAGCGCAGTATCTGCTTCTTACATCACCCCTCCTCCTGCGCCTCCACCTCATCATCTTACCGCGCCAGCGCGCGCAGAGGAATTTCACGAGGTGGAGGCCTCGCCTGCTCTTGACACAGCCGCCGAAGATGAAGCAGCAGTTTTTTATGTTCAGTTGCCATTGATGAATCCCGATGTTGCTAGGCGCGCGCTGCGCAGGAAGCCTTCCTGCGAAGCACCCTAGACGACAGGCCCGATGCTGGGCAATGCGAGACCCCAGGCTGTCTGCGACGGACCCTATGATGCCTCCTCATTCTTGTGCGCCGTTGATTTGCAGTTGGTCTTGACGTCGAGGAAAATCACCATTACCATCTTCATATCAACATCGTCAAAAACCTCGTCGTCGTCGGCGTCGCCATCGCCATCGTCATCGTCATCATCGTCATCTTCATCGTCACCATCATCATCGTTACCATCACCATCGCCATCATCATCATCATCCTTACCATCGTTATCATCATCGTCGTCGCTTCCGTCGTCGTCAATCCTCCTCCTCCTCATCGCCATCGCCATCATCAGCATCATCGTCACCGTCATCATCACCATCAGCAGTATCATCATCAACCTGATCAGCATCATCATCGCCATCATGATACTCAGCATTTGCGTAGTCGTTCTCGTACTCGTCATCGTCCTCGTCACCGTCACCGTCATCGCCAGTGTCGTCGCCATCGTCATCGTCATCGTCATCGCCATCGTCATCATCAATATCATCATCTTGACCATCGTCATCAGCGTCGTCGTCATCATTATCATATTTCTCATTACCATCGTCGTCACCCATCAGTGTGACCATCACCGTCACCATTACCATTACCATCACCATCATCGTCATTGCCAGCATCATCATCGTCATCGTCATCATCGTTGCCATCATAACCATCATCGTCCTCTTCCCTTCCTTGTGATCATCACCGTCATCACCGTCAGCACCACCATCATCATCGTTGTCATCATCATCATCATCATCATCATCATCATCATCAGCATCTTCTTGATCATCACCGCCACCACCATCATCATCACCATCGCCATCGCCATAGCCATCGCCATCGTCATACATGATTACCGTTTGCATCATCATCGTCAGCATCCTTCTCCTCGTCTTTTTCCTCATTCGCATCCGCATCATCCGCATCATCCCCTGCACCTTCTTCTTCTTCTTCTTCTGCTTCTTCTTCTTCTTCTTCTTCCTCCTCCCTCTTGTCGTCGTCCGTTCCTTCTCCTCCTCGTCCTTGTTGTCCTCCACCGACTTTAGGGGAAAACCAAGAAGTACTGATACCACTGTGCTCTCTAGGCTCTCCCGGGGTGCGTTTTCGGATGACTTCCGAGGCGACTCCCGCGGTGGCGACGAGGGCTTCCCAGCAGACCCGAAGAGGCGAAAATGATGGAAGGACAACAGTATCGGTACATTTTCCTCCTCCTCTCCTCCTTCTCCTCTTCCCCCTCCTCCTCCTCCTCCTACTTCTCCCCTGCCGCTTCCCCTCCTCCCTTCCCCTCTTGCCTACGGTCAGGAGCTCTGGCTTGGCGTATCGCGCCGCCGGCTCGGGCCCACCACGCTTCGGCGCGACGCGGCGTCCACGTCCCAGTCACGGAGCGCCATCGTCTCTCAGGGCTGGACCTAAAACCTGTTTTGCTGGATTTCGGTTGTGTTTTGTTTTTTCGTTCTGGCAGGGAGACACAGGAAAACGCGTAGAGCAAAACGAAGAACCAAACCAGAGCAAAACGAACAACAGCGTTTAGGTCCAGCCCTTTCGCCCCCAGTTTTATTGGCCTTTCGCCCCTGGAGCGGAATGAGACGCCTTTCGCTCGCAAAGCACGGCGTGTCGCCAGGGCCGCCGCCGCGACGCGCCAAGCAGAGTGCAGGTCGAGTGGCCGCCGCGGGCATACCTCTTCCAGAGGGGCGATCCCAGCCTGTGGTGCTACGCCTTCGCCAGCAACGGACCGGACGACAGCACGGTGCTCGGCATATCTTGGATGTTGCACAAGGCCACCCAGGGGAGGGGAGCGAAGGAGGGAGGGGGGAGGGAGGGAGGGAGGGAGGGGGGGGAGAAGAGAACCGGTGGAGAAAAAGGATACCCTCGCGGCCCTCGCGCCGTGAGATCGCGACGGGGTGTTGTTGGCCATCTTCGGTCCCTGGGAGCCCTCACCGGGCCCAAGGACCGGCAACAAAACGACGTCCGTAGCCATTCTGGCCCGAGCCGGTTCAGACGAACACAGATCGCTGCACCCCTGCCCGCTGCAGGCGGGCGCCCTGGTGCAGGCTGCCCGGCCTGGGCGCGCTGACGCCCCCATGAGCCGACGCGGCGCCGCGTGGTGCCCCAGCTCCTACCGGGCCCGCAAGAACGCCATCCTGGCGCTGCAGGCCTGTGCTGCCGGGGTGCTTCTGTGGCTGGCCTTCTACGGCGCCGGCAGCGCCTCCGCCGCCAGCGACGGCTCGCGGAGGCAGCCCCGGCCGCAGCACGAGGACTGGGAGGGCCTGCGGCCAGCCGACGCCCGGCAGGCGGCCTCGCCGCCGCCGGCGGCCGACGCGCGGCCTGCAGCGGGGCGCGGCGAGCCAGAGGAGCCAGCCGCCCTCGCCGAACCGGAGGCGGCCGAGGCGGAGGCCCCGGAGGAGCCCCCGGCGCGGGCGCCACGCCAGGCGGCGGCCCAGGCGCCAGCGTTGCTGCCGAGGGCGCCGGCGCCAACGGCGCCGCTGGCGCTGGCGAGCGACGGAGGCGTCGGGTCGGAGGCCCTGCGCGGGCAGTACGACGGCGGCCATCCGCAGGAGGGGCCGACGAAGCTGATCTTCATCAGGATACCGTTGAACGGAGGTCGTTCTTTGGTGGATGCTGCTCAACGTGAAGGCCTTAACTTCGGAGACCATGTCCAGGCGTCGACAGCATCCAGAGGCCCGCGCAGCGTGGTCGCCGGGCAGACGACCTGCCCACGTGCTAGCGTTCCTCCGTCTCAGCTGGCCGAGGTCTACGGGGGCACCCAGACCTTCTGCATAGTCAGGGACCCCTACGAACGCCTCATCACAGAGTTCCGTCGGACCTGGAAGGGCAATCCGCTACGGAAAGTTGGATGCTTGGATGGCCTCAACGCGTTCGTGAAGAAGAGGGTGAAGACGTATATGGGGGACCCCGAGCTCGGGAGAGAGCCAGCTCCTTTTGCGCACGATTGTGAATTTATGCCTCAGTCGGCTTTTGTATTTGGGTGGCGTGCGGACATTGGCCAGGTTGACGACACCCAGCGCTGGTGCACGCACTCCCTTCATCATGCTAGTCTTCAGGAAGATGCAAGCACCTTCTTGGAATCCCACGGCTACAGGCTCACTGTCGAAGCGGAGCCCCTGGTCGATCCAAGTGTGTGCCCGATGCTCAACTTGAGGAGCCTGTCGGTCGTGAGCCGCGAACTCATCGAGGCCGCCTATAAGGACGACTTCAGGCTGCTGAATTTCCAGAAGATCACCGGGCCGGAGTTCATCCACATACCCCGCACGGGTGGCACCACCATCGAGGATGTTTCTCAGAAGTACGAGCTCTGGGGGAGAAGAAGTCCGCGCTTGCTCGGGGGCGCGAAGTGGATGGGCCCCAAGCACATGGACGTCTGCTATCCCCAGCATGTCCCACCGTCGATCTTGGACGCTCTGTTCGCTGGTAAGGAGACCTTCTGTATCGTGAGAGACGTGTACAAGCGATTGATATCTGAATTTGGTTATTGGGCCATGGCCCGCTTCCCGGGCTGGCCACCGCAATTTGACTGCAACGTCTCGGAGCTGAACCGCTTCATCTCTGAGCGGCTTGCCGGCAAGGATGGTTATCTGCACAATCCCCACCGGTCAGACTGCCACTTGGTTCCCCAGGCTGGGTTTGTTTACGCATGGGACAGAAAGAACGCGAAAGTGAACTTTGGCGAACGATGGTGCACCAAGGTGGTGAGATACGAGCGGTTTCACGAGGAGATTAATAGCTTCTGGGCTGGACACGGATATCCTATGCGATTGGACACTGGCCAGCGGTCGTGGACAAAGACAAAGGGCCCGTGCGGGGAGTTGAAGCCCAAGCACTTCAGCGACGAGTCGGTGGCCCTCATCAAGAAGGTATACTTTGAGGACTTCAAGATGATGGCAGATCTGGACGCCGAGTACGAGTCTGCTCCGAAGACGCCGCCACTTCCGGCAGAGGAGGTGATTGATGACGATCACCTCATTCGCGTGGCAGAGCGGACCCTGGTGGCCGAAGAGCGTGAGCTCGAGAAGGCGACCATGGTAGTTGATGATTTGGTTACCTCCGAGGACTTCGAGGTTGAATTTGATTTGACTTTGCACAAAGTCCATACGTCGAATGTGGGGGGGATCTTGAAGATCACCAACACCAGCGGCTGGTACGGGGAGCCCGGCGACAGGATGCCGGCCTTCTTGTTCGGTTGGAACTCGTCAAAGATAATGACCCACATGGGTAAGGCTGGAAAGCCGAACGACTTCTGCCAGTCCAAGTATGGAATGCCACTGGGCAAGGTTCAGCACATCCTGGCCCGCTTGCAGGGGTCGGAGTACACAATGTACGTCAACGGCGAGGAGTCGTGCACGTTGAGAGGCTTCTCCGACGAGGCGAAGTACCCCGCCCAGAGGAATGTGCAGGTGTGGTTGTACGATCAGTTCAACGACCCAGGGTTCGCCAGCATTGCGAACTTGAGGTACAAAGCCCTGGGGTCGTTACCGGCATGAGTACAGCACTGGGACGCCTACTCCTCTGCGCTTGCGCCTGGCGTGGAAGGCGTCTTGGTGAGGCCAGCGCCCGCGTTTCTCGCCACCTGCAGTACGTGAAGAACGTCAGGAGCCTGCCTGCTGGTGGCCGCCGCCCGAGAGCAGCTGGCCGTGGATGGGCGCTCGGCGAGCGGCCCCGCCGGGCGCCTGGTCAAGGTCGAGGGGGGCTTGGCGCCGTGGCAGCGCCGAGGGGCAGCAGCCGCAATGGCGGCCTGAGTGGGCCAGGCTGGCAAACGACTGCCTGGGAGAGTGTTGGCGCGCATGCGCAAAACAAAGGAGAGAATTACCCCAGTGCGACCCCACCTAGGAGTTGGAGCCCCTAGGAAAGCAGCATCAGTAGTAACTGTAAACGCCGTCCTCCTCCTCCTCCTCATTGTCGTAGTTGCGTTTGTTTTTGCTTGTTTTTGCTTTTGCTTGGTTTTGCTTTTGCTTTGCCTTTGCACACACAAGCATGTTTTTGCATTCGCTCACCGGGTGGGCTTCTGATCGTACTGTTGCACATTGCTTTTGCTTTGCCTTTCCTTCGCTTTGCTTTTGCTTTTGCTTTGCTTTGCTTTGCGTTGCTAGTGCTTTGCTTTGCTGTTGCTGTTGCTGTAGCTTAGTTAAGCTAAGCTAAACTAAGCTAAGCTAAGCTACAGCTAAGCGAAGCTAAGATGAAGCTAAGCTAAGCTAAGCTAAGCTAAGATGAGATATGCAAAGCTAAGATAAAGGGGGCGCAACTGGGGGAACCGCGGGGCGGGGAACAGGGAACCGCCCGGGGCGGAGCCCACTGCCCGGCCCCTTCAAGCCCAGCGAGTAAGAACCCCCTAGGCAGAGCCTAGGTAGGGAAAAAAACAGGACTGTCAACAAACCGATTCGGGACGATATGCCCGTTCTGGGGGAATGGTCTCGACCCCTGGGGGTCCAGGTGCAGGTAGCAACAGAGTCACGACGTCGGGCATCCAGGTCAGGGGAGGGAGGGAGGGAGGGAGAAGGGAGGAGAGAAGGGATGGAGGAGGAGGAGGAGGAGGGAGTAGGAGTAGGAGTAGGAGTAGGAGTAGCGTAGGAGTAGGAGTAGGAGTAGGAGTAGGAGTAGGAGTAGGAGTCAAGCTAGCCAGCTCGAGCGAGTCAAGCATGGCATGCCCAGTCCCATCCGCCCTCCCACAACATAAGAAGCAAAGCTGGCACAACTGGGGCCGAAGTCACACCGGCCAGCCGGTTTGGTACAGCTGATGCGGCCGCGATGGCGGTTGCCGACGGGAACTGGCGAGCGCGTGTTGAATGCCGCGCCCGCATTGCCAGACGAGTCGAGAATGGCCCGGTACACCGCAGGAAGCCAGAGGTGGCCGGAGGAAGCCCGACGGTCTGACAGGACACCCCAAAGCATTTTTGTGAAAAAGCATTTGGTTTTTGATGTTTCTATGTTGAAATGCTTGCAAACACACGGTGTTCGGTAGGATTCTGACATGAACGCGCGAGTGTGCTCTTTGTGGTAGTTTTTGCACAGGATTCGCGGCCTGGGTGCATGACAGAGCATCGCGAGTGCACCGCGCGATGACGTGAAATCGCTGGATTTGACAGAATTCTTAAGATTCCTATGGTTTTCCTATGATTTCAGCAAGAGAGCCCGGGCAGGAAATTTGTAGAATTTTTGTGAAAAAGCATTGGGTTTTTGATGTTTGTATGTTGAAATGCTTGCAAACACACGGTGTTCGGTAGGATTCTGTCATGAACGCGCGCGTGTGCTCTTTGTGGTATTTTTTGCAAGGGATCATCGCCGTGGACGACAGGACGTCCATGTCGAGAGGAAAAAAAGAAAAAATGTTTGATTTTGTATTTTGGGTTTTTTTACAGTTAGGATGGGAACCACCCGGAATGCGGCCCTATCGGCTCGCCTGAGGGGGGAGTGAGGAGTATATTTCTAATAGTAATAAGGATGAAACGGAGTAGGAGTTAGGAGTAGGAGTCAAGCTAGCCAGCTCGAGCGAGTCAGGCATGGCATGCCCAGTCCCACCCGCCCTCCCACAACATAAGAAGCAAAGCTGGCACAACTTGGGGCCGAAGTCACACCGGCCAGCCGGTTTGGTACAGCTGATGCGGCCGCGATGGCGGTTGCCGACGGGAACTGGCGAGCGCGTGTTGAATGCCGCGCGCGCATTGCCAGACGAGTCGAGAATGGCCCGGTACACCGCAGGAAGCCAGAGGTGGCCGGAGGAAACCCGACGGTCTGACAGGACACCCCAAAGCATTTTTGTGAAAAAGCATTGGGTTTTAGATGTTTTTATGTTGAAATGCTTGCAAACACACGGTGTTCGGTAGGATTCTGACATGAACGCGCGAGTGTGCTCTTTATTGTATTTTTTGCACAGGATTCGCGGCCTGGGTGCATGACAGAGCATCGCGAGTGCACCGCGCGATGACGTGAAATCGCTGGATTTGACCGAATTCTTAAGATTCCTATGGTTTTCCTATGATTTCAGCAAGAGAGCCCGGGCGGGAAATTTCTACAATTTTTGTGGAAAAGCATTGGGTTTTTGATGTTTTTATGTTGAAATGCTTGCAAACACACGGTGTTCGGTAGGATTCTGACATGAACGCGCGCGCGTGCTCTTTGTGGTATTTTTTGCAATGAATTATCGCCGTGGACGACAGGACGTCCATGTCGAGAGGAAAAAATAAGAAAAATGTTGATTTTGTATTGTTTTTTACAGGTTAGGATGGGACCCCCCGGATGCGGCCCCTAATGGCCGGCCTGAGGGGGGAGTAGGAGTATATTCTCATAAGGAATAAGGATAGGAGTAGGAGTAGGAGTAGGAGTCAAGCTAGCCAGCTCGAGCGAGTCAAGCATGGCATGCCCAGTCCCACCCGCCCTCCCACAACATAAGAAGCAAAGCTGGCACAACTGGGGGCCGAAGTCACACCGGCCAGCCGGTTTGGTACAGCTGATGCGGCCGCGATGGCGGTTGCCGACGGGAACTGGCGATAGCGTGTTGAATGCCGCGGCGCACGCCATTGCCAGGGACGAGTCGAGAATTGGCCCGGTTTACACCGCAGGACAGCCAGGAGGTGGCCGGGAGGAAGCCCGGCTCGGACGCAGGAGTCCATGCGGGACGGTCGCCAATGACGGCGACGACTTCTAGAAGGATTTGAGCATTGGCCTCAGCGGCGAACGCAGGCGGCATTGGTTCGCCCGCGTGGTATTTTTTGCACAGGATTCGCGTCCTGGGTGCATGACAGAGCATCGCGAGTGCACCGCGCGATGACGTGAAATCGCTGGATTTGACCGAATTCTTAAGATTCCTATGGTTTTCCTATGATTTCAGCAAGAGAGCCCGGGCAGGAAATTTGTAGAACTTTTGTGAAAAAAACATTTGGTTTTTGATGTTTTTATGTTAAAATGCTTGCAAACACACGGTGTTCGGTAGGATTATGACATGAACGCGCGCGTGTGCTCTTTGTGGCATTTTTTGCAATGGATTATCGCCGTGGACGACAGGACGTCCATGTCGAGAGGAAAAAATAAGAAAAATGTTGATTTTGTATTGTTTTTTACAGGTTAGGATGGGACCACCCGGATGTGGCCCCTATCTGCCGGCCTGGGGGGGGGTAGGAGTATATTCGAATAAGGAATATGGATAGGAGGAGGAGGAGGAGGAGGAGGAGGAGGAGGAGGAGGAGGAGGAGGAGGAGGAGGAGGGGGAGCGGGGAGGAGGAGGAGGAGGAGGCGAAGGAGGAGGAGGAGGAGGTAGGAGCAGGCGGAAGGAGGGGGAGGAGGAGGAGGAGGAGGAGGAGGAGGAGGAGGAGGATGAGGAGGAGGAGGAGGAGGAGGAGGCGGAGGATGGTGTGAGGAGAGGAGAAGGAGGAGGAGGGAGGAGGGGAGGAGGAGGAGGAGGAGGAGGAGAGGAGGAAGGAGGAGGAGGAGGAGGACGGAGGAGGAGGAGGGGAATGGGCAGGCCCTTTCGAAAATGTGAGATCCACCAGGACGAGCCTTGCGACCTCTGCGAGGCCGTCAGTGTCTCGGAGATCCGCCCGAGACCCGCCGTCCGCGCACCTGTCTCCCCAATGAGGGCCTCGCGCGCCCCCGCCCAGCTCTGTCCAGAAGGGGCCCGCCTCCTCCTCCTCGTCCTCCCCTCCCCTCCTCCTCCTTCCTCCTCCTCCTCCTCCTCCTCCTCCTCCTCCTCCTCTTCCTCCTCCTCCTCCTTATTCCGCCGACCAAAAAGAGTGTCTTCCGAGACGGCTTGGACAGCTTCTCGGAGGGCCTGGTTGAGAATTCCGAGGAGCCCGGGCCCTCTGCCTTGCCCCCATGGGCTCGCCGCCAAGTGTCAGGGCCCCAGAAACCAGGAGGGGAAAAAACACACAGACACAATTCATCTTCGATTCCCAGAAAATGTGGGAAAATATAGGAATTGGGCGGGAAGACAAAAACCCAGAAAATATAGGGAAAGATGGGGAATATTTTGATTTGTGTGTATCTATTTGTGTGTTCTGGGGCCCCTTCAGAAACCAGGACACTGCAGTGCAGGACTCTGTCAGGTCCAGCTCGACCCAGGGCTGCAGCTTTCCTGGTCGCGCCAGTGTCTTTCCGGCGCCATGGGGGCCCCAGCGCCGATCCGACGAGTCCGCGCGAACCTCCGACAGGTTATGCTTGTGTCGTTGTTTGTTCCCCGATCGAGGGGCTGGAGCACCCAGCCTTCCACGTGAAGGACGCGGTGTTGGCCGCGCTGGTGGTCGGCTACCTGGCCGCGCGCTGCGCAGGCGTGGCCGGGCCCCAGTCGCAGGCGCCGGCGGCCCTGATCGCCGCCTGGCTGGCCGCCTTGACGATCAGCCTGGGGTCGCCCGCACGGCGCAGGCGGGTGCTCGGCAGGAGCGGCCCCGCCGCAGGCGACGTGTGCGACGAGGGCCCGGCGGCGCTGTGGATGCAGGGGAGCAAGCGGTGATGTAGACATGCACGTTGTTCATTTCTAATTATTCAAGAGTTCTTTGATTCTCTGGGGGGCCATGATCCTTTCATTTCGAATTGTTCTATCCTGGGCCTCTTCCTGGCCACTAGGGGGCCAGGAACAATGAGAGACGAGCACAATTAGAAATGAGCACGATCCGAAATGAACGACGTGTAACCTTTCCGTGGTCCGCGCGGGTTTCTCGGATCTGCGCTGGGGGCCCCTGGCGGCGCCTCGGGCGGCCCCCCTCGGCACCCGAGGCGCCGCCAGGGGGGGGCCGATCTGAGAGATCCGCGCGGGCCGGCGAAATTGCATGCTTATGTCAGCGTTCGACTACACTTAAGTCGGGC